GTTATTGGTCAGTTTTTCTCTACTCATATATGTTCGTAGAAATGCCATTAAAATTATTTCCATGAGTTTCTTCGTCATTTTGAATCTTGCAGAAGGGCCAGAAAGATAGTGTAACAGATAGGGCACAACCCTTGCACAAGGGCCAACCTGTGTTTGATCCGTGGCATCCCATATGCTCTCCTAAAGCACCATGAGGAATGATACTGGAGCCAGGAGTAAGCCCTAAGCATTGCCAGCTATGGACTAAAAAACAAAACAAGAACAAAAACAACAACAAGAATAGGACTAGGGAGATAATACTTCAGGGAAGGCACTTGCCTTCTATGCTGCCAACCGGGGTTCTATCCCCAGCATCCCATATGGCCCCTTGAGCCTGACAGGAATGAATCCTGAATGTAGAGTCAGTAGTAAACAGTAAGCATCGCAGGTGTGACACCAAAACCAAAAATTTAATAATACCCATGGCATATTTGATATGTCAAAAACAGTAACAACAAGTCTCACAATGGAGATGTTACTGGTGTCCGCTTGAGCAAATCAATGAACAACGGGATGACAGTGCTACTACAGTGCAGTATAACAGAGTTGAAGTGTTAAAAAACTAATAAATATTTGGCATAGAAAAACTCGCATTATCTAGTTGAATAGGTACTTATATAAATTTTAAAAAATAATTATACTATTGCTCAGGATATATCTGGATGCCGCTTCAAATTTCACATATCCAAAGAGCTAGTTTGTCAGAAAGTTTATGGAGCAACTATATATTTGCTCAGCAAGAGAGCAAGATTTTATTACTGCTTTCATAACTAAATGAAAAGTAACACTATTTTTTTTTCTGAAACACATATGTGTGCTTACTAAATTTCATTAAAATGTAGGGCCAGAGGTATTACAAAGTTGAGTAAGGGGCTTGCCTTGCATATATCCAAAATGGGTTTGATTCCAGGTGCCCCACATTGTCCCTCCCAAGTCCAGTCCCACCTAAGCACAGAGCCAGGAGTAAGCACGGACCACTTCTGGGTGTGATTCAAAAACAAATACAATACATTCACAGTGACCCACAAAATTTATCTCAACAATCTGTTAACTTTATCATAAAGTGAAAAAATATGATCAGATATAGCTGAGCCTAAAATGTAGATTCTTAATCAAAGTAAATTTATTAACTTGTACCAGAAAGCAACATAATAATTGGCTTTAAGTTTCCTCATAGTTTTGACTGACTCAGGAAGTTGTTGCTCAGACACCAGATTCCATATTAAATTTATTGTTCTAGTTGTTCATGAGGCATAAGTGGAAGCAAAGATAATTTAGAGAAAATATTTAATAAAAAGTAATCAAAATAAAAATGATACATTCTAAAAATACAGAAATTTTCTTGTTGCATTATCTACTGGTATAACAGTGAATTTAAAAATCATAAATGGTTATACATTTTATACATTACTGCATGATGCCCAGCTCCCAAATGCCAATACTCTACTTTTTATCTTAAATTATATTTCAAGGATCAATAGCATATTAATCCTCATCAATATTTTCTTCCAATTGACTTTCCCAATTACCTGTATTAGAAAACCAGTAAAACTAACAGTAAATTTTAGGTGAAATGAAAAAATGTTTGATTTTTTTTGTTTCAGATGACAAATATAAAAAGTTCCAATTTACAGTGAATTCACAATCCCTACACATGAATGATAAGGAAAAGAAAATCAGCAGAGCCACTCATGTAAAAAGCTTCCACAATCTAGTCTCAGCTCCATTGTTTGGTGGGGAAAAGAAAAGATAGTCTTTTTATGCTTATACTTACTTTTAGTTAACTTCAACCTTCAGTATAAGGGATCTCTGCGAGTGACCAAGAGTCGAGGAAGGTGTACTATCAGCAAATGCCAAACAGAGCATTATCTAATTGAGAAACGTTCCCTTCAGATCTTCAAGCCTGCCCAGATCTCAGTTATGTCAAATCCATTTACTCATCAGACCATTAATTCATTTCTTGCTGCCATGAAGGTGAAGCTGACAGTATAGTTACTTGAGTCACTTTAAAGAGGCCCAGGGTGGCTGAAGGGAAGGATTTGGGAGGCCCCGGGTGCTGAAAGAAGATCCCAGTAGCTTCCTAAGATCCCAGCAGCACAGAGCTGTCAAGAGTAAGCTGCTCATAGACAAAATCTTTGGAGAGAAGCAGGAGGGTTGTTTATTTATTTATTTTTTTGGTACATCAACAATTAAGTCAGACACAATTTGTCTTTCTATCTTTTATTGTACCATTATTAAGACTTAAAGTAGTAGAGCCTTTCTGAGTTGATTGCAATACATACATGCAATCAGTTCTGGTATTTAGGATCTTTATTTTCATGTCCAGAGAAAAATAATTTAATATTTAAATGGAGTTCTTGGTGAAACTTCTGTTTTGTTTGTGAATCTTCACAGAAAACTTTTGTCCAATATTTCTTTTGTCATACCAAAAGTACCTTTGGGTTATAAACTCCCTTGCTCTGATTTTGCTAAAAAGAAGAGGGTTCTAGTTGAAAACTAATCCATGAAGTATACCACTGGGCAAAGGAATGATCTATGAGAAGGTACTGCAAGAGTACTGGCAACCATCCAGGAAATATCCAGGATGTTAATGCTAACTGATACCATTACAGGGAACACGTTTTTTTTGTTTGTTTGTTTTCATTTCAATAGGGGCATTCTTCCATGATGACATTCAATTCTCAACCACACTATTTCTTGGCAGTTAAATTCTATCTTTCCTGTTGTGGTGAAAGATATTATATGACCATCACCAATAATAATGATTCTACTCCATCACCAATAAGAATGATGCTTAATATTTTGGCATAAATTGGGAAGCAGAGGGAGAGGAGAAGGTATCTTTAGTCATATGCCAGAATATATATTATAGTTATACTGAATTCTGCAATGTAATTATTATCCCTATTTTAAAGACAATGTAATAGAGCTTAATAAAGTTGGAATACATACCAGTCCATCATTACCATAGAAGTATCAGATGATGAAAAAACTAACATAATGTTTTTAAAAAACAAGAGCCAGTTTCTCTTTTATTCTAAGGACATCTTTTATAGGCTAAAGAATATGTATTTCAGGGATACTTGGTAGTTTCTTCTGAAGTGAAAAAACATATTAGTAGCAGATCTTGTACCAGAAATCAAGGTTTTCAGCTCAAAGATCAAACTGCTTATTGTTGCCTCAAGAATAAATTACAATATTATTCTTCATTACACATCAAACTACTACTAGATTCTTCCAAAGAAGGATGTATCCTCCCCAAAGATAAGATACCCAAACTTATTGGAAATGTCAATCAAAATATGTTTGATTTCTTAAAATTTTTAATGAGCATATTTTATAAAAAATATACTCTAAATACATTTGATTTTCACAATGTAACTGCATATAAAGAGAACTAAAAGTTCATTGCAACTATACCAGTAAAATATTACTAAGACTCAGGACCAAAATATAAGCATTCATTCATAAATGGAAAACAGTTCAGTCAAGACCACGACTGGTGTTTACACTGGACAAAGTTTTTCACATTCAGTCACCTGTAGAGAAGCATAGAGTACACAATACACTCAAGTGAATCAACATCCATTTCTGGAAACCCTTTTTAAAAGATATAGCCTTCAAATCATATGGTAAATGTTGTTTGTAAAATATATAATATCCAAAGGTTTTCTCTAAGCAACCATGTCTATTTTACAATAGTTTTAGGGGGAGAATTACTGATTTTCAATACAAATGAAATACCATGTGAGAAATAGATATTTTTACAAGTATCATTAGAGATTATAGGATTTTAAAGTAGAGGCCTTAAGTTCTATTTTTAGGTCCTTTTGGCCATATTGACTGGAACTCAGGTTGAAGTCAAAGCTCTTTATTTCGAATAAGGTATAGAGTATTTGGAATGACTACAAAGAATTTTTTCCATGCAAATTTTTACAAGCACTTAAGTTTCTGATCCTTGTTCTTATATTCTACAATATGCCACCTGTTGTATTTTTAAGAATCCTTTATGATTTTTAGCACTCCTTTTTCAATTAATATCTATATACTTTCTGCCAAATCCTATATTCTAAATATATTATTACTAAATAAATAATTTATGATATGTTTTAATATATATTAAAAGAACCCACAGCAAATGTAGATCATAGATAAGGTAAAAAAATTTGGCTCAAGTGGCATGGCCAGATAACATATAGTAATAATAACAAAATAACAATAATATCCAGTTATTAAATCTATACTGAAAATAAGTAAACAAGAATGAATAAGCTCGTGAGGCAATTCATCAAGATAATGTGTCCTTTAAGTAAATAAATTAATGACAATATTTTACATGAATATTATAAAATGAATATAGAATGCATACTTTATAGTTTAAAAGAAATAGTGGAATATGAAACATATCTCTTAAATGATCAGTATGGGTGATCTTCCTTTCACGAGAACAGATTAATTTAGGGAGGAATTGATAATGTGCTTCAAACATCTCATCATCCTTATATTGTTATCACTCCCTATACTAATAGTCTTTCCAAAGCTGTTAAATAAAAGGCTGAAAGCACAAAAAATATTGTTCCATTTCATACACATTATCTATAAAAAACAATACTGACACACTGTACATATAAATAGATGAGAGCCACAAAATTCATTAGTCTAGCTTTGTGCAGTAGAAGATATTTTCTCTGAATACAATGAATCAGAACATCTGCATGTTTCAAAAATCACTAAATCATATTGTCTGTAAAATAAGTCACCATTTCTAAACAGAAGCTCTATTTTCTTTGAGAGATAAAGGAATAGTAAGCAGTTTACACATCAAATGTTACCTCTGGTTCCTATAATTTACATTAAAACATTAAGACTAAAATAGTAGCATGAAGATTATTTTAAAATTAATAAAATGACCTTGTGAATAGATTTCATGGCATTGATAATTAAATATTTTGCCAGCTTACCTGATAAAACAGAGCCTTACAGATCACAGCATAACAAAGCCTTGCATCCAAGATGGTTAGAGTATAACGTGCCTTCTCTGCAGCGTTCAGATTTTTTGGCCACAGAGGTTTACAAATTGATTACAGTGTTTTTGTAATCAATCCTATCCTTTTTCTGTGGGCAAGAAAACAAAGAGACCTTTCCAGAATCCTCTGTGCTTATGCCTCCGCTTCCTGTTCTGAGATTCACTCTATGGTACCCAACATATATCAGAAAACAGCTTTCAGAGGGGGGGGAAAAAAAAAAACGGGCTGACAGCACTTAACGCAGTACCGCCATCTACCGGCAGACACACAAAAAGGAACAAAAAGAAAATTCCCCCATTTTTAAAATTCTAACACAAACTATCTAGTGCATGTGAATATGTACAGACTTTTTTTGATTCTCAATTATTTTACTATAATTGATATTTTTTATTTTTATAAGCATAATAAGTTTGGCTTCTCAAATAAAAGTGACAACAAAATCCCCACACATTTCTCTAGGAAAATTCTTTAAGCTGTCAGAGCCAAAAGTGGTCAAGAGAAGGGAAGTGGGGTGGGGGTAAAAAAGAAATATATTTTGAGTGAAAGGGAGCAATTTAATCGTGAAGAATGAAAACTTCACTTTCAGTGTAAGCATAATTAGTATAAGCAAATAATTATTTATAAAATTCTCTGCATTAAGCCTCCATAATGTTAAAAAAACAGTTATTTTGATAAACTTTTAAAGTTGATTTTTTAGAATATATGCTTATGTTTTTAAAATTCCTGGTCACTTTTATAGTGTATATGAATAACCTTGTAAAATCTCTCTTGTTAGATAGTGCTGACATTCTGAAAATCCTTTTTCCTGATAGAATGAATTATTTTCCTAGAGAGCAAGTACCTCTCTAACGTAAATACCTCTCTAAAAAACAGAGTTATGCAAATATTGTTTGGAGGTGGTATTTTCACAAAAAATGATAAGAAATAATATCTAAAATGGAAAGTTATCTTAAGTTTTAATGATGCTAGTCTCATTTAAATATAAGAACTTTTTTTTTTAATGGAAGGGAATTGGGCCATACATTAGATGCTCAGGATTTTCCCTTGGTTCTATACTCAGGAATCATTTCTGCTGGTGTTTGGGGGACCATATATGTTGCTGAGATTAAACCTTACTTTAAAGTAACTTTTTAAAAAAATTATTAGTGAAACACCATGAGGTCCAGTTGTAGACTTACAATTTTTTGTGCTTGGGTTTCAGTTATACAATGATCAAGTACCCATCCCACCACCAGTGCCCATTTTCCACCACCAAGGATCCCAGTATCCCTCCCATCCTCCCAACCCCCCCCCCCCCCCATACCACCCGCTTCTGTGGCAGGGCATTCCCTTTTGGTCTCTCTCTCCTTTTGGGTGCTGTGGCTTGCAAAAGAGGCAATTATGTTAGGTCTGTAGTCTACTTTCAGCATGGATCTCCCATCCTTGGAAGATCCTTACAACACCATTTATTGGGTGCTCCCTTCTCTATCTGAGCTGCCTTTTCCCCTAGCATGAGTGGCTGGCCTCCAAGCCATGGAGTAAACCTCCTGGTACCTATCTAGGCTATTCTTGGATGTTAGTCTCCTATTTTGTTACTTTATATTACTCAGATGAATGCAATCTTTCTATGTTTGTTCCTCTCTTTCTGACTCATTTCACTTAGCATGATACTTTCCATGTAGTATCACTTGTATGTAAATTTCATGACTTCATCTTTTCTAACAGATACACAGTATTCCACTGTATAGATGTACCAAAGTTTCTTTAACAAGTCATCTGTTCTCAGGCACTCAGGTTTTTTCCAGATGCTGGTTATAGTAAACAGTGCTGCAATGAACAAGTGCAGATGTCACTTCGAATAGACTTTTTTGCCTCTCTGGGATATATTCCCAGGAGTGGTATTGCTGGGTCAAATGGGAGCTCAATTTCTAATTTTTGGAGAATCGTCCATACTGTTTTCCAAAAGGGCTGAACCAGTTGGCATTCCCACCAGCAGTGAAGAAGGGTCCCTTTCTCTCCACATCCACACCAACACCGATTTCTTTTGTTCTTTTGGAGGTGGGCCAGTCTCTGTGTGTGAGGTGATATCTCATTGTGGTTTTGATCTGCATCTCCCTGATGATTAATGATGTAGAGCATTTTCTCATGTGCCTTTTTGCCATTCGGATTTCTTCTTTGAGAAAGTTTCTGTTCATTTCGTCGCCCCATTTTTTGATGGAGTTGGATGTTTTCTTCTTGTGGAGTTCAAGCAGTACTTTGTATATCTTTGATATCAACCCTTTGATGGATGAATATTGGGCAAATATCCTTTCCCATTCTGTAGACTGTCTTTGTATTTTGTTCACTGTTTCTTTTGAGGTGCAGAAGCTTCTTAGTTTAAGCTAGTTTAAGCTAGTTCCATCTATCTATCTATCTTAGTTTAAGCTAGTTCCATCTATCCATCTATCTATCTCTGTTTTCACTTGCTCGGTCAGTGGCGTGACATCTTTGAAGATACTGTTCGCTTCAATGTTGTGGAGGGTTTTGCCAACCTTGTCTTCAATGTACCTTATGGATTCCAGTCTAATGTTGAGGTCTTTAATCCATTTTGATCTTACTTTTGTACATGGTGTTAGGCAGAGATATGAGCCCAATTTTTTGCATGTAGCTGTTCAGTTGTGCCAGCACAATTTGTTAAAGAGGCTTTCCTTACTCCACTTCACATTTCTTGCTCCCTTATCTAAGATTAGATGATCATATATTTGGGGAGGGGTGTTCAGTATATTCAACTCTGTTCCATTGGTCTGCAGCTCTGCCTTTGTTCCAGTATCATGCTGTTTTAATTGTTACTGCTTTGTAGTAGAGTTTGACGTTAGGGAGACTGATTCCTCCCATTTTCTTTTTCCCAAAATTTTTTTTAGCATTTGTGGGGGCTTATTGTTTCATATGAATTTCAGGAGTGTTTGCTCCATTTCTTTGAAGAATGCCATGGGTATCCTTATAGGGATCGCATTGAATTTGTACACTGCATTGGGAAGTGTTGCCATTTTGACATTGTTAATTCTCCCAATCCATGAGCAGGGGATATCTTTCCATTTTCTTGTGTCTCTTTTATTTCCTGAAGTAGCATTTTGTAGTTATCTTTGTACAGGTCCTTTACTTCCTTAGTTAAGCTAATTCCTAGGTAGTTGATTTTCTGGCACACAATTGTGAACGAGATTGTTTTTTTCATGTCACTTTCTTTTCTCTCACTATTTGCATAGACGAAAGCCATGGACTTTTGGGTATTGTTTTTATAGCCTGAAACTTTGCTATACAAGTCGATTGTTTCTAGGAATTTCTTGGTAGAGGTTTTAGGGTTATGTAAATGTAGTATCATATCATCTGCAAATAGTGAGAGCTTGATTTCTTCCTTTCCTACCTGGATGTCCTTAATATCTTTTTCTTGCCTAATCGCTACTGCAAGTACTTCCAATACTATATTGAACAGCAGTGGAGATAGTGGGCATTCTTGTCTCATCCCTGATCTTAGGGGGAAGACTCTCAGTTTTTCCCCATTGAGGATGATGCTTACTCTAGGCTTGTGGTAGATGGCTTTAACTATATTGAGGAAAGTCCCTTCTAAACCCATTTTGATGAAGATTTTCATCATAAACGGGTGCTAGATCATGTCAAATGCTTTCTCTGCATCTATGGATATGATCATATGGTTTCTATCTTCTCTTTTGTTGATATGATGGATTATGTTGATTGATTTCCGAATATTAAAACATTCTTGCATCCCCGGGATGAATCACACTTGGTCATAGTGTATGGTCTTTTTGATGAGTTGTTGAATTCTATTTGCTAGTATTTTGTTGAGAATCTTCACATCTGTGTTCATCAGGGATATTGGCCTGTACTTTTCTTTTCTTGTGGTGTCTTTGTTTCCTTTTGATTTTAGAGAGATATGGGCTTCATAGAAACTGTTTGGGAGAGTGTCTGTTTCTTCAGTTCCTGAAAAAGCTTGAGACGAACTGGCAATAGGTTCTCTTTAAATTTTTGGAAAAATTCACTAGTTAATCCATCTGGACCTGGGCTTTTGTTTTTGGGAAGACTTTTGATTACAGTTTCAATTCCTTGATGTTAGTAGGTCTATCCAGGTACTCTAGATCTTGATTCAGCCTTGGGAAATTATAGGAATCCAGGAATTTATCTATTTCTTCTAGGTTCGCTTGTTTCATAGCATACAGACTTTCAAAGTAGTCCCTGATGATCTTTTGAATTACTTTGATTTCTGTTGTGATATCCCCCTCCTCATTTCTGATTCGGTTTAATAGGGGTCTCTCTCTCATTCTTTGTAAGTCTTGCTAGTGGTTTATCTATCTTATTTATTTTCTTGAAGAACCAGCTCTTGGTTTCATTGATCCTTCGGATTGTTTCTTTGGTTTCTAGTCATTGATTTCTGCTCTAAGTTTCATGATATCTTTCCTTCTGCCTGATTTGGGCTCCTTTTATTGATCCTTTTCCGAGATCTTGAGCTGTGGATTCAAGTTGTTTATGTGTGCCCTTTCTTCCTTCCTGAGAAATGCTTGAAGAGCTATAAATTTTCCCCTTAACATGGCTTTAGCTGCATCCATGGGTTCTGGGGTACTACCTGGGAGAGGAAGAAGACCGGCACAGTGTTGGGGACGTTGGGGACGAAGAGGAAGAGGCTCAGGGCTGCTTTTGTCCCAGGGTACTAGAGGACGTGTGGGACACTTGCACGGCAAAAGCAAAGTCCCGGGTTTGAATACTGGTGGGTTAACTGACCTGGGAGGGGAACAAGACCGACATAGCATTGGGGACGAAGAGGAAGAGGCTCAGGGGTGCTTTTGTTCCAGGGTCCTAAAGGACACCAGGGGCACTTGCACGGCGAAAGCCAAGTCCCAGGTTCAAATACTGGCGTGTTAACTGACCTGGGAAGGGAAGAAGACTGGCACTGTGTTGGGGATAAAGAGGAAGAGCTCAGATTGCTTTTTTTTTTTTTTTGGTTTCCATGTCATGGATTTCTGCTCTACGTTTTATGATCTCTTTCCTTCTGCCTGATTTGGGCTCCTTTTGTTGATCCTTTTCTAAGATCTTGAGCTGTGAAGTCAAGTTGTTTATGTGGGGCCCTTTCTTCATTCCTGATAAATGCTTGCAGAGCTATAAATTTCCCCTTAACACGGCTTTAGCTGCATCCCATA